AGCCCTCACCCCCTCCCGCACCTCAACCCCCAACTTCATGGGCATTGCATTCATGGCCCACCATACAATTTACATACCCAGATGTGACCCTTGGGACAAAAAGTTTGCCCACCCCTGTGTTAAATCCTCTACCAGTTTCTAGATTAGAGCCTGATACTTCATTTCATGGAGATCCAAAACTGGCTTTAACCTCCAAAGGAAATTTCAGATGCATAAAGTACACGGGATCAGGCCCTCGGGGAACTTTACTTTGAAATAATGTTGCTTATCTATGTAGGGAATCTGCCATCAGTTAAACATTAGCCATTAAAGTTGTGCTGAAAACGTTACATGCAGCTTAGAGCCGTTTTGGTGCTATGCCTGTTTCCTGCACATGAAGAAAATGAACCCGGTGGAGCTCCTAAGATCCTTGTGTTTCAAAATACTCCAGCATTCTACAGTAATGGTCCTAAATACTGCAGGCTGAATCTTGAGTAGACTTCTGCAGATGGGCAGGGCCCAAATGCAATGGAAATGCTGCATCCTCGCTGCATTTGCAGACTATGTAACACAGGGAGCCCCCATGTTGAACTCTGAAAGCCTCCTGCATCTCTGCAGTCCACCTGGCCTCACCCAGAGGGGGAGGAATGGATGCTTTGGTGGCATGGCTAATAGATTTCTGCAGAGCACCAGACCCTGTGCTTGAGGGGAGCCTAGAAAACCCCAAAATATATGCTGGGGCCAAGGAGTCCTTGCCTCAGCTCTCGTATTTCAGTGTATTTTTCCCTGACCAGAGCCCTTGCACTCAAGCTTGGCTCCCTTTTCATGTTTTGGCCCTGTAGTAATACTATTGAGAGCTGTAGGGGCACCAGAGTTGAACTTTCCTTCTGTTTCTGCCCTTGAAAACACACTGCGGTCAGCACTCTAGGGATTAACATTGTTTCCAAACTCGGAAGCCCTTGTTTACTGATCCCTCTCCTTTTGTCATTCTCGACATTCAAAACCTTCCCAGCTTGGTGCTGTGGGGTGCAGCAAGTGTGACGCCCACAATTTGGCACAGCTCAGAATGCTTCCTTACTCCGCAAATTTTTGAGCTGTGTCCCCTGACATTTCAGAGTGAGCATTGTGGGGTCTGAAAGAAACCAATGTTCTCAGCCAGGCAGGTGGGTGGGAATTAAAGCAGTTTAGTTTCAGCTGTTGAAAAAGAAAGCAAAAGTTGTTTACCTCTCTCATTACTTGTCTGCAGGCCCCACAGGGCACGATGAAGTCCTCTTCACTGTTGCTATCGAAGGAGAATAGAATGCACAGGTCAGTCTAGCTCATGGTGGAAAAACTGTCTACAGTTAATGCATCAGATAAATAATGTTAATGCATCAAATAATAACAAACAGTAGTTAGTAAATAGTACTTCGATTGCTCTTTCTACCCATAAATCCCAACGTGTTTTGCAAAGGAGGGTCAAGATCATTGTCCCTATGTGACGGATGGGGAAACTGAGGAAAGGAGAGGTGACGTGACTTGCTCAACGTCTCCCAGGGAGGTAGCTGTGACAGATATTGCAGCCCCATACGATATCGTTGGGGACCAGATTGTATTAAATCTATGAATGGTTTATGTATGATTGTGTTCTACTCCATGGGGAAGGGCTATCACAGCGCCTACAGGAACAAAAGACCATGGTGGTGGTGGGAGATTAAGGCAAGTCACTCTCTAGAAGTTCTTTAACATCAGTGAGGTACCACGCCTTGGCATGGTTTGCACATACTGGTTCAAGCTGGGTTTTCCAGAGACTGGCAGACAACGAAAGGACTTTTTGGTATAAAGGGGTGAGTTTGAACTGACACAGTGCTTGCCTTCTGATCCAGCAAATATACAGGACCAAAGGGGGCCCCACCCAGGCGGAAGGGTTGGAAATACTTGGGCCGGGTCTCATAGGACTGATGGGGGTGACTCCTGTTATATTTGGTGTGTGTTTAAATCTAATCATTGTTTTTATTCTGGATTCTCTGTGGTGCTTTTACCTGAAGAATAACTGTGCTCAGTCTGTCAGGCATTATCTCCAGCCCTCAAATCATCTTTGTGGCTCTTTTCTGCATCCTCTCCAATTTTTCAACATCTTTTTTTAAAATGTGGACACCAGAACTGGGTGCTGTATTCCAGTATTGGTCTCACCAATGGCGTGTTCAGATAAATTCACCTCCCTCCTCCCACTCGCTACTTCCCGGGCAGGGCCGGCTTTAAGCTGATTCGGCCAATTCCCTGGAATGGGGCCCTGCGCCTAAGAGGGCCCCGCAACGTCCGGGGCTGCCGGTGGAGCAGGAAAAAACAAACAAATAAAAAAAAAGCCGCGTCCTGCTTCTCCCCCCTCCCTCCAGCGCTTGCGCCGCCATACAGCTGATCAACATAAGCCTGGGAGGGAGCGGGAGGGGTGAGGAGGAGGAATGCGGCGTGCTTGGGGAAGACGGGGGGCCAGGGCGGGGATTTGGGGAGGGATCCAATGGGGCGGGGAGGCCTGGGGGGGGGCAGGGCAGGGATTTGGGGAGGGATCCAATGGGGCAGGGAGGGGGCGGGGCCAGGGTGGGGATTTGGGGAGGGATCCAATGGGGCAGGGAGGGGGCGGGAGGGCGCGAGACAATTCGCGTCCCGGCGTGGGGCCCTGCACCTGCTAAAGCCGGCCCTGTCCCCGGGTTATACATCCGAGGATGGCATTGGCCGTTTTTGCCACAGCTTCACACTGGGAGTTCATGTTGAGTGGCTTGTCCACCATGACTCCTTTTCAGAGTCACTGCTTTCCAGGATACAGTCCCCCATTCTATGGGTATGGCCTGTATTCCTTGTTCCCAGATGTAAAACTTGGCATCTGGTTGTATTAAAATGCGTTGAAAGCAGCTTGCATACCACTTGGTGTAAGGCATGGGTTCTCAAACTCGGGGTCGGGACCCCTCAGGGGGTCACGAGGTTATTACATGGGCGGGTCGCGAGCTGTCGGCCTCCACCCCAAACCCCGCTTTGCCTCCAGCATTTATAATGGTGTTAAATACGTAAACAAGTGTTTTTAATTTATAAGGGGGGGAGGGTCGCACTCAGGCTTGCTATGTGACAGGGGTCACCAGGACAAACGTGTGAGAACCACTGGTGTAAGGCATCTTTCAATGGCTGATCATTCACTCAAACTTGCTAATCCGGGTGCTGGGTTCTGGAGACCTGCTTTGTTTTGGAATTACTCTGCAGCTACGATTGCAGTCTATAATCCTAGTGCCTTTCTCTCCAGGGTGGGAAAAGACCACAGGATCTTCTGACCCTTCCCACCTCCCCAAGCCCACCATCTAACCTCCACTACACAACAGCACAGGGAGTTGGGAGGCTCTATGGCAGGGCTGCCCAGAGGATTCAGGGGGCCTGGGGTCTTCGGCAGCGGATCCCGGGGTGGAAGGACCCCCCGCCGCCGAATTGCCGCCGAAGACCTGGAGTGGACTGGGGCCTGAAGCTCCGGGAGGCCTGGGGCCCGCGAGAGTTTTCCAGGGCTCCCGGAGCGAGTGAAGGACCCCGCTCCAGGGGCCCCAAAAAACTCTTGTGGGGACCCCTGTGGGGCCCGGGGCAAATTGCCCCACTCCCCGCCCCCCCGGGCAGCCCTGCTCTATGGAGCTGGGCTCCACACTGCACAGGGTTCAGATCCTGGGAACATTACAAGGCTGGGAAAATCCACTCCAGGCTTTTACTGCAGTAAATCCCCACAGATTTGTGAGTTTGGAGGGTTGAGGGCGGGAGGGTTGATGCCACATGGGCAGCAACTTTGTCCCTGGCCATGACCCTGTCATGTCTTCCCAAAGCCCACAGAGGTTTCCGTGGAAAGGGGGGATGTTGCTGTTTCTGTGCATCTCATCCTCTTCTGTGTACATTGGCCATTCTGTGCTGGTATTTACTCCGTTTTCATCCCTTACTGGGAGAGCCCCATAGGGAAAGCACTGGCCCATCAGTTTGGACTTTACTAGGATTCTGACACCTGTGTATCTATCTCCAAGTATCTGAAAGGTGTTAAGATCAAGGAAGGCATGAGAATTATTTGGGGGGGAAGGGGGGCATAAGATGGTATCACTAGGAGTAATGGGGCAAAGTGAAAGAATGGTGCATTTCAAATGAATATCAGGACCAGCTTTCTAACCGCAAAGTCTGTTCGGATGTGAAATACCCTCCTGAGGGAGGTATTGGAAGGCGTTTAAAAACAAGCCTAGACGAAGCACTCAGGAGTACCTTGTAGCTAACCCTGCATAGGATGGACTACAGAACCATATAGCTTTTACTCCTTCCCAGTGTTGATGATCATTGTGCGTAGAAGACAAAGGATCTGCTCCTTAGCAAGCACCAGGTTAATATAAATATAGAAACCTGCTCATTATCCCTAGAAATATTCATGAACATTTGAAAGGAGAGACTAAAACAAAGCGAGGCTGTCGGGTGATTGTTAAAATTCAAACCTACAATTTCTCTCTCTTCATTATCCCTTTTCATGAATGTGGCCCCTTTGTTCTGAATAAAATTAATTCCTTGGCTCTGGTTACTGACATGGATTATTCCCAAGTAGTGTAATTTGACATCGCTTCTGCTTTTAGTCCATTAGCACAAAATGTTCTCAACAACTCCTCACTTGCTCTGTGTCAAACCAATAATTAGGAGCCTACAGACACATCACAGTACAGAAGCTTACAGTAAGGACCAGCTAAATAGCAGCCTCCAGTTTTTGGCTGACCACTTTAAAAGTCGCAGCAAGGTTTCCAGGATGGTTGCGTTCAATCTTTAGTTAAAAGCCCACAGCTGATCTTTGCATCTCCTTTAGGTGCTCACTTGGGCCTGGATTGTGCAAACTGGACCCCTGTGCCCTGCTGAGTTCTGTGAGGTCCTGCACAGATCAGTTTGCGGGATCAGGGTCCCCCAAATGGTCCTACTCACTTCTGAGGGACTATTTGCATGAGTAATGGCTGGCAGGACCCAGACCTCAGTCTTAAAAGCGGTTGCAATGTAGTTTAATGATAATCTCGCAAAACAAAACAAATCACAGTCTTTTCTCCCCGTCTTGAAAGTTGATGCTGCAAAAATTAGGTAAAAGGAAGAGCTCATTTTGAAAGGATGGCAATGGCCTCTTGCCACCACCCGGAGCTGTACGTGCCTGTGTGTTTAAAGCGCAGGAAGCAGAGAATTAGAGGAACAAAAGTGTTGCACAGTTTTCCGGTACAAGCACATTTTGAAATGATTCAAAGGGATGTGATTCAGAGCTCTCACTTACCTAGCAATGGCCATGGCTCTGAAATTCACGTACCCTTCTGACACGGCTTTCTGAATGGCAGTGCGTTCAGCACACACCCCCAGGGGGTAGCAGGCATTTTCTACATTGCAGCCTAAAGGAAATACAGAGCACGTTGTTACTTTTCAAACTTGTCTGACAATAAATACAGTCTGACCTACTGATGTGGTGCCCTTCGTCCAGGAGTGCTCTACAACAGCGGTTCTCAAACTAGGGCCACCGCTTGTTCAGGGAAAGCCCCTGGCGGGCTGGGCTGGTTGGTTTGTCTGCCGCGGCTGCAGGTTTGGCTGATCGCAGCTCCCAGTGGCCGCAGTTCCCCACTGCAGGCCAATGGGGGCTGCAGGAAGCGGTGGCTAGTACGTCCCTCAGCCCGTGCCACTTCCTGCAGCTCCCATTGGCCTGGAGCGGCAAACCGCGGCCACTGGGAGTTGCGATCAGCTGAACCTGCGGACGCGGCAGGTAAACAAACCGGCCCGGCCCGCCAGGGGCTTTCCCTGAACAAGCGGCGGCCCTAGTTTGAGAACCACTGCTCTACAAGGTCATAGACAGGAATCACTGCACCCAGCACTGGGGTGGAGCACACACAGCAATGTGAGAGGAAGTGGAGAGCATGGTGTCCAGCTGAAATTGCAGATGGGATTTAGGGAGGCAGAATTATTCACGCTGCAAAACGGCCAGAACCGTATGGGCTGAACCGCCTAATTATGCCCAGCTACGAGAGCACTGTATATCTGTATACATGTAAAGACAGAGTTAAGGGATACAGTGCCAGTAGATGGCCCTCAAAAAATATGTAGCGGAATCGTTGAGTTTTGTAGGACCGATAATACTTTTTGTAGCACACTGCAAATGGCTTCTTTTGTGCAGCTCTTTACATTAGCTCTTAACATGCGCCAGTATAACATAAATCAATATTTAAAATAAGGAATAATTAATGACATGGGACCTTTTAAGGCTATAGGCCAAATTCAGCATTGGTGTTAGCGGGCACAACTCCACTGAAGTCAGTGGAGTCATGGTCTGTAAGCTTGCAGGGTATTTTGACCTTCAGAAGACAGCCCTGGGGTACCGCTACCACCCCAACGGGGGGTGGGTATTGGACTGCCCCAGACAGAAGAATTCCACCCACTGAATCACCAGCACCACTTTTAACAGCACTCAGGAGTCTGATTGCATGAAGAGAGGGAGCTGCTATCAGCAGAATCCTCCGTTCAATGGCATCCGATGGCGTTAGATCACCAGAGTCCCAAAGTTAAAGTGCATTTCAGTAGCTTTGGACAGTCAGTCTTTGTCTTTTTTCAGTATTTAATTGCCTCCTTAGATGACTGCTTTGTTATGGGGAGGCAGGTGCAAGGTATTTTATACAGGGTTTGTTATTTTAAGTACTATATGGTCCTGAGACAGCAAAGCACTTAAGCAGGTGCCTAATTTTAAGGAAGCAAGTAAAGTTCAGTATGTGCATAAATGTTTGCATGAGCTTAATTTTCATAAGCGATGAGCACCTGCTACTTCAGCTGAGCCCTGCAGATGTTCAGCACCTCTGAAAAGTAGGTTGTAAATGCATACTGCAGGTTTGCTGATGAAGGAAGGAACGAGATCCTAAAGGCACAATATCCAGACTCCAGGGCCAGATTTTTTCCCATTAGATAATTATTTGCAAATACAAATGCAACACCAACAGACCCCGGTCGTCGGCAGGCGGGATCGAACCTGGGACCTCTAGAGCTTAGTGCATGAGCTAAAAGTCAACTGACTCTTAGCTAAGGCTGTAGAGCAGACTCATTTAACTCTAAGTGGTCTCAGTGCCACTAGGTGGGACAAACACCACCCCCAGAAGGTGTGTGGGTTACACATATTTTTCATTATTCGCTTTGCTCTAACCATGAACCTTTAGAAAAGTAGGTACGTCTGCCCCAGAGCCCTTCTGGCTCCTCTCCGAAAGTGAGGTGAGGTCTCCTGGCTCTCTTCTTTTTCATTCTCAGGGGAGTGAAGTGGTGGTGCTGGGGTCTCCAAACCCATCTCTTTTTGACCCATTTCCTTCAACAGGCCCCTTTTTCTGATTGCACAGGGACCTGGGAAGAACACCCAAGGGCCATCCCCATCCGAGGCAAGATCTGGCATGTCTCCCACCCCCACAGCATTGTCTCTTTTATCACTATGACAAAGAGATGCCCTATAGTTCACTATCCTAAGAGGAAATCCCCATCCTGCTCAGATGTCTCGACTCTGCCCAGGCAGAGGAAACCGAGCCCAGGTTTAGCCAGCATCACAGAGGATGTGACTCCAATGGGTTCTCCCAGCCCTGACTTGTTTTGCAGCAAAGATTTGAATGCAGTCCAGGAGATCAGACGGCAACCTCTTGTTGCTCAGCAAGGGAGAGCAATATGGCCCAGGCAGGCAGAACAGAATGGCATAGTCAGTGCGACCTGCTCTGCCCCCAGAGAGATGCAAGATTGCCAACCTCAACCTTTCAAGAATCGTTATGATTATTTGCATTGCAATAGCACTTCGGAGCACCAGTTACGGGCCAGGACCCCACTGTGACGGTGCCCCCTCATAAGGCTTTATGGAATATGCTTATGAATGTATATATGCCATAACTAGAATATGTTTTATGCTACATGTGCCACGTAACATATCTATGTAAAGGTTATGATCTACTGAATACATTCCTCCTATTTGTATGCATGTATCATTTTCGTACTTGAAGTTAGGAATATTGGCTGTCTACTTGCTTGATAGCCCTAGTAAAGCATTTGGCCAGCTGATTAAGTGCCCAAACAAGAACCACTTAAGCCAACGATGAACTTGGAGACACCAATCCACATCAGAGATTTCCCAGGAATGTGGCTTGGCTGGTAAAAACTGAGTCATGCATGGACATGTGACTTGCCCATGTGACTCCAAAACTCCATCTTGGAGCTGGACTCTGCATAGGAGTATGGAGGGGGTCTCCACCCACAAGAGAAAGTCTACTTAAACCCCTGGGAGACCCCTCTATTTTGTCTTCAGCTGGCTAAAGGGATAGCCTCTCCACCCCCAAGGATACCTGAAAGAAACTGGAACAAAGGACAGTAACTACAGGGGGTGTGAGTGGTGGCTGGACCCAGACTAGCAGGAGACTTGTCTGTAAAAGGAAGCTTACTGGGACTGGTGAGGTTCTATTAGTATTCAGTTTCTTAGACATAGACTTGCATGTTCAATTTTATTTTACTTGGTAATTCACTTTGTTCTGTCCATTACTACTTGGAACCACTTA